CGGGCGGAACTCTAACTGCCATGAAATTGTTCGAGGGGCAGGGCAAAATCAAGCCAGACTGGCTTACCGTTATGTGGCCAGAAATCAAGAAGGGCTTGATCCCGGAGAATCGCCTGCTGAAGAATCGAGACGAGATGGAGAGGGTGCTGCCCAACATCGCCAAAGTCTGCGTTATGGTGGCCACATCCTGGTGCTCGTGCTCAATTGCTTCTGCGGCCTTGGAGAAGAATGGCCATCCCCCTCTTATCGTCATCAAGAAAGGGCGTAAGAAAAGGAAGCAGATCGAGGAACCATCTGCAGCCGCTGCTCAGGAAGACTAGCGCCTTATCGGGCCGGCTTCTGTTCTTAGAGAAGCAACTTGTTCCATATATAGTGACCTATTCGGCATGTTCTGGGCTACGCAATCTTGTAGAAACTCCTTGTACATATGTCTCTCCTCATCTGTAGGATATGCGTATGTTGTTTGTTGTCCGTACACATGTCTACGGTGTGTGTGTTTTTTTTCTACATTCTAGTTTCCTTCTCGCAAAAGCTAACCTCCTAATCCACAGAAAAATCCACAGAGAACAGATCGACGATCCGCCGAAAAATCCATACGACGAAGTTTGGCAAGTTTTTCTGCAAGTTTGCCAACTTACCGCTACGTACTCTACATACCGAATTTACGAAGCTAAGTAGTCTGCAGGTTCCGAGTCGGCAGACGGATTCTTAGCGGAAGGCTCTCCTCCAATGCCACGAAGAAAGCCAGCCATTCACGCTGTCCGAACCAACCCACTGCGCAGGTGGTGTCCTGTAGACCAGCCTTGACGAGATGGAAGGTGATATGCATTTGCTTCTCCAACTTCTCTTTGCTTTCGCCTGTAGCGGCCCGCGGCTTCTTCAGCTGTGGGTTTGTCTCTTCTATCTGCCGAACATCACAAAGGATGAGTCCCTCGGTCATTGCTGACAGGGTGCTCTTGGCCAATATATTGTCCAGTTGCGTGGTGACAGTTGTTCTGTCAAGGTATCCTCCACAAAAGAAGTCCACAGCGTCCATGAGAATCTTCAATCTTCGCATCTTCTTGGTGCTCGCATCTGCTGAATTTGCGTCCTTCCCCTTCTTCTTGCCTGCTGCAGAGCTCGCCCCTGCAGCCTTGCCCATCTTGAAGCCCTCCCCCACCTCTGCAGAAATCGACTCTGCGGCATTATCCGTCGACAGAGTTCGCGGCCGCTTTGCCCTTGGCGTGGAGTCTGCAGACTTGCTGCCCATCTGTTGGTTTTGTCCCACAATCGAAGACGTCTCCACAGGCTTGCCCTTCTGCGACGAATCCACAAACTTGCCAAACTTGCAGAAAAAACCTCTCTACGAGCTGACCACTTCTCGCATACTTCTTCCCTTGACTAGTGGGCTTGGCCCGTCCCAGTACGGCAATGCATCGTCGATGGTCTTGCTGTCCCGCCATGGCCCAACGACGGCATCGTAGTACGCCTGGTCCCCTGGTGGTGGAGCACCTGCCGCAGAGAACAACCTCGTCACGCCAGACGCATTCTCCAGTGCATCGTAGGCCCGCTTCAGCGTGGTGTATGCCTCATCAAAATGATCACATCCTTTGCCTCGATCGTCGCTTTCATCTGCCTGTTCTGCTCTGCCAGACGGTCCTTCTCGGATCCCAGCTTTCCCGCGTCCTCGTGCAGAAGCGGCATCGGGGCGTTTAACTGATTGATCATATGATCGCCCTTCATCCGTTTGAGAATCTCCTGCAAAAAGGGGAAAGCGGGTCACCAATCGCTCTGCAGGAATGGTGGGTTAGAATCTTACTAGACGCCTAAAATTCTTACCGCTTCTGTCGACAAGGTGATGTCTGATCGAAGCCTGATCCCGTATGCGTCCCTCGACGCCACTTCAGTCGCCCACGTTTGGAACAGCGTCTCATTGCAGAGTTTGGAAGCCTGGACGTATGGATGCCGTGGGCAGGTACAGGGACGCGCGCCTCCCGTGAAGGGATGCTTGTCGCAGTGGACCCACATCATGGCCAGATCTTCGGCCACAATCCTGCGCCCAACATCCTTCAGGCTGTTAAAAAAACTGGCGCCGGCAATGTGGATGCCGTCTGTAGATTTGTCCTTGTTGAACTCCTCGACCTGCGAGATTTGAGACGAGGTAGCACTTGCGCATCTCATTCTGCTCCCATCCTCCCAGATGTGGAATCTACGGTTCTGAACAGAGAAGGTCGCAGAGGATCTGTGCAGCGGATCTTCTGAAGATGTGGGTGACCTTGCTTAGCAACCACTTGGCCGATTTTATCGCCCAGCCGACCCACTTGTTGTGGGTCTTGTACGGTATCTCTCCCTGCTCGGGGTCGTCCAAGGTGAAGAAGAGGTGCTTTCGACGACCACTTCATCGGGTGGGAGCAGTCGAGAGGCTTAACTATCTCCCTCTTATCGTCCTTGTAGTACAGATGCATGAGGTCGTACACCCAGTGGATCCACAGAAACACGGCACCCATGGCGCACTGGTGCTAGTAGAGGCTACGCGTTAGAAACTGGTGGTCCAACTTGTTGTCGTGCACAACCTTCGACTTTCGGCTCGCTATGACGAGGACGGGTACCTTTGTGGGGGCCCCAGACGTGGTGTTGCTCGGAATCTCATGGATGTACATGTTGGCGAAGCGGATCTGTCGAATGCTGCAACCCCTTCCCAGCACGTAGTGTGAGTGAAGAATCATCACCTTCACCGCCAATGCCCTTCACAGAGTCAGACTGAGCTCATTCACAGCTTTCTTGAACTCGTCTTTGGCAGCGGTCGGCAAGGTCGACTCGTTCAGCTGTCAAAACTGGTCCGCGGAGTAACAGTCGTCGAGGGACCCTCGATGTTGATCCTTGTCCTCTCTGCAGAAAACGCATTGGAAGAAATCTTAGATCTAATCTTTGCTCAACGACCGTGCTGTGAAGGCAAAGTAGGCAGAGCACGCAAACCTTACGCGGTCTGTTGAGCGTTCAACTGTCGTAGCTTGACCTTCACAAGATCTCGCGCAGATGCGATAAGGGTTGTCGGCAAGGATGCGTCTTCGTTGAACAGAATGGCATTGACGGAGCAGAGGCAGCCCAAGGCGTTCATCCGGGCTTTCATCATGCCCGCCGTGCATTTCTTAGGGGCTTTCCCTGCGATGACCTTCTGACCCTCTTTCAAAGCTTCGGCCTGCTCCTTGGTCTGCCAAAACATGTACGCGACATTCGCTTCGAGCCTCCACTTCGTCGTGCGTGGTCCATGCAGATGGATCTCGGAGAGGTGGACTTTACACCAATCGTTCCCCATATTGTTACCCAGGGTCTCGCCAACCTCGTCATCGTGCTCCAGCAGCTCTCCCTCCGAAATCTTCAGATCCTTGACTTCGTTCAAGAACTTCACGACCCACTTCTTGAACTCCAGAAAATACCCCGAGTACTGTGGTCGAGTGCTTTTGGCCTCGACCTTCAGCAGAGGAACTGATGCCCGCTGAACCAAGCTTTCTTTGGTTGTTGTCTCCACGTACGCATTACCCGCGTACATGTTTCTGCCGGGCTGACGCGGGACCTCTACGCGGGCAGCTGATTGAGAGCCCTCTTCCTCTATCTCCTCCTCCTCCCCCTCACCCCCCCGCTGCCCGCACCCCTCTCCCTCCCCCTCCTCTTCTGGTCGTACTCCGGTCAGATCCACCCCTGGATCTGCCAATCCCTCATCTTTTAGTTTTTTCTTCCGCGCCCTTTCCTCCTGCTGCTCCAGTGTACAAAGCGGATCATCTTCTACGTCATTTCCCTCAGACGAAGCCCCAACAGCATCCGCCTCTGCTTCGCCCTGTGCACACGTTATGAACGTTTCGTCTTCATCCACCTGCGTACAATCTACGAACATTTCAGCGCCATCCTCTTCCATCGCGATCCTGGCTGAGGAAGTCTACGACTGACAGAAACGCCCCCACAAAAACGCCCCCACATAAACCCTCCCACAGAAACGTCCCCGCAGAAACACTCCCACCCTAAACCCCCACAGAAAATGTCTCCACAGAAGCGCCTCCACAGAAACGACTCCAGAGAAGCGCTCCCAGAGAATCGCTCCAACAGAAAAACACACAGAGAAACGCTCGCACAAAATCGTTCCCACAGAATCGCCCTTACACAAACACACCCACGGAAACGCTCCCAGACAAACGTGCCCACAGAAACACCTCCGCAGAAATGCTCCCACACAAACGTGCCCACAGAAACGTGCCCACAGAAACGCCTCCGCAGAAATGACCCGACAAAAGCGCCCCCACAGAAACGCTACCACACAATCCCGCTCACCACACGTGCCCACAGAAACCATACCACCGAACCGAACCCACAAAAGCGCTGCCACAGAAATGTCCCCATAGAAACGCGCCCACACTGAACCCTAACAGAAACGTCCCCAAAGATACGCAACCACAGAAGCGCCCCCAGAGAACGGTCCTACAGAAATGGTCCCACATAAACGTTCCTACAGAAACGCGACGACAAAAATGTTCCTACGACATCGCTCCCACAGAAATCTCCGACCGTAACGCTCCCTCGGAAACTCACCGAAACGACGAACCTAACTTCTGAGCGCCCAAGTCCCCATAATTCCCATCGCAGATTTGAAAAGGGAGACAAGTCCGAGAGCACGCCGTTTTATACCCGCCTCCGGGTTCCTGGTAGAAGAACATAGGCAAGGCAGACACTTTTCGTTACATTTGCTCATCACCAAGCAACAAGGTGTTCTAAAGTATAACGGGTACAAGAATCATTCAACAGGTATCTTCTAGATACCACTCAACCGTAGTGTTTCGACAACATGTATTCATGTCCTACGGGTTACCAACGCCATCGGAGTCTCGTCGAACGACGTCGCTAGACGACGCGTGTTGAGTGACCCGCTGGGGTTGCCCTTGAGATCCTCGGGGAAGGGCCACAGGTGCAGAGCCTGGGGGGCTATGGGCGCACTTACCCGCTATTCAACAAGCCCTTTTAACCCAGTGGTTAGTGACTGGGTTTCTGACATGGTACATCAGAGCCAAAGGTCTTGGGTTCAACTCCCAGTGCCAGCGCTGCAGAGGCGCTCGTGTCTTCCACCTATCCCAGCGGGGGGGGGGGGGGTGTTGAGTGACCCGCTGGGGTTGCCCTTGAGATCCTCGGGGAAGGGCCACAGGTACAGAGCCTGGGGGGCTATGGGCGCACTTACCCGCTATTCAACAAGCCCTTTTAACCCAGTGGTTAGTGACTGGGTTTCTGACAACGCGGAGATCGCTGTCAAAACGGACTCCGTCGCCCGCTACAGTGGCGGCGACGACAGATCGAAGGATACGGGGTTTTATCAAGAGGGGCACCTTTTTTTCCCATCCCCTCCGATGACGTAGTCCCCGGAGGTTCGGCATTCGGGGGGCGGCCGGCGCTGGCGGGCCCCCCCCGACTGTTCTGCCCTAGGGGTCCCAGTCCCAAACGCGATGACCTGGGCCTTGGGACTGCGGGGCAAACGCGTAGGACCTGAGAGAGTTGGGAGTCCTATTCCCTGCGATCTCCACACACGTACCCCTTTGGAGACACAGGCATATGATAGCAAAGTGAAGGAGCCACCAGCGCATACAGTATGACTTTTCCAATCTATTCCCTATAAACCCATACGGTATTTGCTTGTGTTTGGGTGATGCAGTAGATGCGCTACACATTTTGAACTTGCATACTTCAAATCTTCAGGGCTCAGCCTGCCTGAAATGGGTATGCCCGTCGCGCACTCGCACTCAGGGCGTGGAGCCTAGGGTTGCGAACCCGACGGCGTTGCGCAATCTGGTCTGGTTATGACTTCGCGATCATTTCGTTGTTTTCTCGCAAAACTTTCTCTGGGCAAAAGCTTCCCCAACACTGCAACCAGTTGCGTATTTCTGGGTTGCGCAACCCTGGAATTTACGCCTTGAGAATTCCTGGCAGCAACCTTCTGCGGCTGCTGCTGCTTCACCTTCCTCATTCATTGGACCCGCAGATCGAAGGTGTCAGCAGACAAACCAATTTGACGCTAGTGCTGAGCGACAGACAGCCATCCATAGCTCGATCATCTATAGCTCGATCGTCCGTAGCTCGATCATCCGTAGCTCGATCGTCCGTAGCTCGATCGTCCGTGGCTCGATCGTCCGTAGCTCGATCGTCCGTAGCTCGATCGTCCGTAACTCGATCACCCACAGCTCGATCATCAGCCAGACCCTGGGTGCTCTCAGATTTCACCGCGTTGTCTTGCCAGCGATACTCATTTCACTCGCCCCAGTTCCCTTCAACAGAAGTTCTGTCGGGTCTTACTGCAGCGCATTTGCGTAGAATTCTGGCACGCTTCTCCTTTCTGGCTCGCAAGGGGCTCCTCGTGATAGCTTATTATAACGGTCCTTGAATGCCATACAGTGTATCGTGTGACCGTCGCCAAAACGTGTCTATCGTCCTGGAAGTATGTGCCCCCGGGCCCCGATTCCGAACGCAGACTGTCCTGCTCATGCCTTGGGCGCATCCAAACTGTAGAGAGCGACCGAACGAAATCTTTCCCAGACGGAGATTCTGAGGCGACTCCGGGCCAATAACGAACGTCCGCCACGCCAGTGCTGCCGCTGGAGAAGTAGCCGGCGTCACCGGAGCTCCTACGACGCTAGGCTGCCTTTTGGCTCTGACGGCGTCACCCCGCGGCCGATAGTAGTGAGTGCTGCCGATACGCCACTCGTTGCATGCTTCACAACAGATGCGCACTGGTCTTGCTCTCCCTGGTGGCTAGACTAGCCGTTGTCTGCTTATTCTCCCTGTCTTCCGCATATTCGTTTCCGAGCCCCTTTGTTCCAACAGTGCACATGCTCCGCGGGCGCAAGCTGGTCCGCTCTACAACCCCACGGCAGATTTCGTCACACCCCCGGGTGTGCTCCCATGCCCCTTGTACTTGCAGGAGGCGTCGCAGCGCCGTCGCGTTGCTATGCTTACCCCTTCCACCCCTCTGCTTGCTCTGACATTGCACGCCCTTGCCGTACGCCGCAGACTAATCGCGTGTGCTGGATTGCTCATTCCCTCTTCCCCACCGTGTGCTCCCACGCTAATTGTAGGGCTTTGGAGAGCCTAGCAGTGACGCTGCGCTGGCGCAGTTTCCTGCTTTGCTGGTGCGCTCGTTTCCTTCACCCCACCAGCGTTTCAAGGCTGACCTATCTTGCCATGGGTTCCTTCACCCTATGCCAGTTGTTATGCCAGTTGTTATGGCAGTTGTTATGGCAGGTCGGCCGCTTTCGCATGCTCATTCCTCCCACCCGACTGTGTGTTCCCGTACTACCTGCCCCTTGTACAGTCCAGCCCATGCGCGAGTGTAGGACCTGCTCATTCCTTCTTCCTATGCGTGTGCTCCCATGATACCTTCGCCCATGCTACTAGACCTTGTCCAGGAAGCCTAGCAGTGACGCTGCCCTGACCTGCTCACTCCGTCCCCCCCCACTATGTCACTGTGTGTTGAACCTCGGCTGCTTGATCTTCCTGGAGAGTTCCTAGTGACCATGGCTGTGTGCGCATGCCCTTCCCATGCCCATTATTCTTGCAGGAAGCCAAGCAGGGCAGACGCGTTGGCATGCTCATTCCTCCCACCCGACCATGTGCTACCGTTCCACCTAACACGCGAGTCACGTCGGTGTTGGTCTGCTCATCCCTCCCACCCCTCCCATCATGTGCTACCTAGCTCGACGCCTGCACTTTCCCCGCGGCTTGACCTGCTCACTCCTTCCTCCTCACCATGTACTCAGATCTAGCTTCTGCGCTGCGTTGGCCTGCTCATTCTTGATAATCCCTTACACCACGGTGGGCTCCAAGGTCACTTGTTCTTGCAGGACGCCCAGTGCCGACGCGGCGATAGCAGGCTGTTTCCCTCCACACCAGGTCACGCTTCCTGGGCCACTTTCCTTGCTGGTTTTTTAGCAGTGTCGCGACGCTGGTCAGCTCATCCCTTCCGCGCCTGTGTGTGCACCCATGCCACGAGTCCTTGCTGGGATTCGCATAGTTGGGCCGCCACCTGGGGTCTTACCCCTTTCACCCAGCATTGTGCTCCCACGACCTCAATTTCTGCAGGGCCGGTGGCCGCCAAGGCTACAGCAACCCAGGCCCACAGGCGGTGTGCACCATGCCTCCGACGCCTCGTCCCCCTTTCTGCCCCTTGTGCATGTGCCTCAATGCAGAGCACAGGCGGCGGAAGGGTCACAGCAAGGGAGGCGGGCAGAGGTGCGCGCCATGCCCTACACTCCTCATTCCCTTCTCGACCCTGGTTGTGCTTGTGCTTCAATGCACCACGCCGGCCACGGCAAGAGCTACTCTAAGGGATGGGGGCGGAGGTGCGCAGCATGCTTTATACCCCTCGTCCCCCTGTCATTCCCCATGTGCATGAGCTTAATTTCAGAGCGGTAGCGGCGGCTAGGGCTATAGCAAGGGTAATGGGCAGGATTGCACGCCATGCTTCATGCCCCTCGTCTTCCAGGCTATCGCCCCTTGTGCATGCGCAGGGTTGCAGACCCAAGGTGGCAGCTCGGGCTAGTGCATGGGAGGCGGGCAGAGTTGCGCGCCATGCCCCACCCTCCTCGTCCCCGTTTTGCCCCTTGTGCCTCTGCTCCAATGCGGCGGTTTGGGCGTGGGCAGGGGCTACAGCAAGGGAGGCGGTGACGTCTGCACTCCATGCCTCACACTCCTCGTCCCCCTCTATGCACTGTGTGCATGGCAGGTAGTGCAAACCGAAGGCGGCGGCAAGGGCTACAGGCGGGCTGAGGTGCGCGGCTGTGCATTTGCTCCAATGGAGATGACCAGTGGCAGGCAGCGCCGCCAAATGGGTGCGCGCCATGCCTCTCACCACTCGTCCCCCTCTCTGCTCCTTTGCTTGTGGACCAACGCAGTCTGGAGGCGTCTAGGGCTACAGCAAGGGAGGCAGGCTTCCGACCTTAGCTCCTGTATCTGTCCTGGAAAGTTTTCGAACGGCCATTCTTTTGTGACATTCTCTTTCCCCCGTTTTACCAGATTCTACTGCCATGGCTCCCAAAAAAGGCCATCCTGCCCGCGCAACGAGAGGCAAAGGTGGTAAAGCGGGATCCGGAAAGCCGGCCACGACGGAAGGGGAGGAGTTTTCAGCCAGCAGCGTTGAGGTCGAGGAGATAGGGGGCAGAGGAGAAGCTGGGGGAGAGAAAACGCACGTTCCTCGGAGCGAGGGGCAAGACGATCCCCCGAGCGTCATTTGTCTATCGTCCGATGACGACGATGACGTCACCGTCGTTGAGAAGGCTCCTGGTGGATCCAAGACGGGGACGGGTCTCGAGGCTGCAGCGGGAAAGGAGAACGTGCAAGTGTCGGATACGGTGAGATGCAGATACTGTTTGCCTTACTTTCGTCCTTCATTGTCAACTCTAATTCTGCTAATCTTCCATGTACCTCCAACACAACTGTGCGGGAATTTTAGATGATGTACAAGCAGAATCGGATCATTGACGTCTCAATCCCCAACCCCCCCCCAAATCCCTTTTTCCGCCCTCCGTTCACTTCTTTCCGCCTCCTTTTCTCAGGGCAACATCAAGGCCCGTGGCGTATTCTACGACAAGGAGTGGCTTTCTATACAGGTGACACAACTACGCGTAGAATGGCTCGGTACAATGTTCTTCAGTGTCAAGGCTGCTCTTTCAGCAAAGCTGAATGTTTCAGCTGGCGTTTTTGAAATTGAATGTGTGCTGTAACAGGCACCATGCATGCAGTTGTTTGTGTCGTGATGTCTTCTGTTTCCCTCCCTTCTCCTCTCCCTCTCCCTTCCGGCGTGCGGCCAGGTGGAAGGCGTGGACATGTACGAGTACTTGTGCGAGGACGAGAAGATGTTCCGTCGGAACGTAAGTCTATGTTTCTTCCGTTCAAGGTCACTCAATACTCCAGAGTTTTCTTTCTTTCTTTTCTATTTTTAGACAATTTATTTTGCTTTTATGCGGCGTGGCTTGTGGACAGATGACTGGTGATCCCACTCTGAAGTTTTTGAGCAGTTTACCCCACCTTTCTGAGGTAAGTCTAGTTAGTACATTGTTTTGTTTTATCAGAAATTCCTTCTAAGTCACCTAGCTTGTATCTATATATGCAAGCCTACCTGCAAGCCTTCCTGCAAGCCTACAAGCAAGCCTACATGCAAGCCTACATGCAAGCCTACCTGCAAGTTATTTTCAACCTACTGGAATCCAGCCTCAACTTTTATTTTTAAGCATCGCTTCTTGCTTTGGCAGTACCTAGCAGCAGCCTGTCACGCCGTGCTTACCCATAGCAACCGCGCCCCCCCTCCTTGTCACACGTATAGGTCTTGTATTTCTTCCACCCCCTCTCTACAGTCACACCCATGTCCTTCTGCGGCCAATGCCCTCCCCCCCTCTCATCACCCATCCTCCCCTTTAGCCCCAAGCCCCGAAACACCCCTTTTAAAGTCCTTAGCACCCCCGCTTCCCGCTCATTCGTCAGCACTCTCCCTTAGCCCGCATGGATGCACAGCAGTATGACAAACGAGTGGCTGCCACTTGGAAGAATAGTGGCAGCTGGATTCGGATGCCATTAGATGTCAGTAATTTGTATTGTAAGAGAGGTGAGGATGATTCTCACAGCTCTGAATTGCCATGCCAAGTGCGTCCTTAGGAAACCTCATCTCACCCAACTATGCATTCTGAGTGTGACCACGAATTCAGTTTAAGCACTAACCCACTGTTTAATATTTCTCCCACATACTCTGAATGGCCTCAGGTAGCTAGCTCTAGAACGAAAGTACTTAACTTAAGGATCAGCCTAGTTGATTCTATTACATTTGTACCTGGGCGGCTCCGTTCGTGCAGGTACTACAAATGACGCGAGTAAATCTGTACTCGTGGGCGAGCAAGCTTTGCTCGCAATTACTAAAATTTCGCCCAAACACTGGGAGTAAAAGTCGAGTACTCGAATGCCCTGTGAGGCGAGGCAAGTATTACTTTTGTGAGGATTTTGGTTGAAAAACGCGCCTGGCTTCTTGTCAAATTTGAAGCGAGCGAGAAGGCGAGATTTTACTCGCCTTGCATGCTCATGTCTATTCTCATCGGTTGATGGCAGTGACAGAGAATTTATCTACCTCTAGATAATCATATGAGGAGAAAATTCATATTGTCATATCCTTCATTCCTGAATGTCTATTGTGGTTATCCCTGCAGAGACCTGGCTGGGTGGTTACAGAATCGAGCCAGCTGTCCGGGAGTGAGCTGGTGAGTCCGGAGAGGGGAAGCAGTGGAGAGCGCGATGCTGCGGAAAGTACGGCAAGGGGAAGTGGCGGAGAGGCGATTGTGGAGCCGCATGGCCCGTATGAGGTGGAGGGAGGGGGAATGGCAGGAGGATGGGCGATAGGAGGAGAAGGCTGGGGAAGCGACGGAGAGGCGCTTTCAGAACAGCATGACCCAGATGTGGTGCAAGGAGGGGGGGTGGCAAGAGGAGGGGGAAGAGGGGGAGAAGATTGGGGAAGCGGGGGAAAGGGGATTCTGGAACAGCATGAACCAGAAGAGGTCCAGGGAGAGGGAATGGCAGGAGGTGGGGGAGGAGGGGGAGAAGGCTGGGGAAGCGGGGGAAGAAGCGGCGAAGGAGGAGGCGGACCCGTTGGGAGCCAAACCTGCAGTGGGGAGAACCTGCAGGGGGGCGGACACATACCGAGCAGAAACGGCAGGGGAGGGATGCCTCAAGGGGGGGAATCCGCAGCAGGGGAAAACCCGCAGGTGGGGGGACTCGTAGGGATCAGAACTCGCAGAGGGACCGTTTTGCAGGGGAGCAGACAGATAGGGCGCAGAACCCGCAGGGTTGGAAAGCCTCAAGGGGGGGAAACCGAAACGGGGGGAAACGTTCGGGGGGGGGAACCTGCAGTGGGGGGGAGCTCACGGAATGAGGAGGAGAACGTGGAGGTAGGACGGAAGGAGGAGGGCGAGGGGATGGGCAAGCAGGATGGGGAGGGGGGAGTAGAGAGGGAACAGGAAGGGGGGGGAGAGGGTAGGGGAAGGGGGAGGGGAAGACCAAGGGGGAAGGGCAAGGGGAGACAGAGGGGGCGTGACAGGGCTGTTAGGGGGGGTGAGAGGGAGGCGGAAGACGAGGAGGTGCCGGCGCCGGAGGTGGAAGTCATTGACGGGTACGAGGCCTCTTTTTCACGTCGGAAGAAGCCCCACGGGCACAGTATGGAAGAGGTGGTGCACGAGGAGGGGGTCCAGATGCGCTCGGCGGAGCTGGGTGCGACGGAGATTTTTGGGGTGTCGCAGGGCCCAAGTGACGACACGTTCTATGTAAGACTTCGAGGTTACTCTGTCCCCATAAATCTGAAGGTTCATGGTTGGTTTAGGGCCGGGCAGGCGATTGAGTTTTTATATGTGCTCTTCCGGCTGCGGTTCCCCCTGGCATTCGTGTTCATCACACCGAAGCAAGTGGCGGCGGCGCTGAAAGTGTGTGTGGATGATTTTGCCAAATTCTCCAATGACCAGTGGGTTGCTAAGCTGGCGGAGTTAGGAGATGTCGATGGTAGTGAGTGGGGGGGGTATTGTGGGCGGCCACAGCGGAGGGAAAGCAGGAGGGGAAGTGCGAGGCTGACAGAAGCAGGGCAGCACGGGGTCGGTGAGCAAGAGTCTGAACTGCCCGTGTTTCCTGCTAGCACGGATGAGGGGGAGGGCAGTCGGCAAGGGGGCGGTGAGGGGGGAGGCGGTAGCACTGCTCCTGCGGACCAGCAGCTGCACTGACTGTTTCTCACGCCATCCATCCCTGCACTGCACCTGCTGCAACTGCTGCTGCTGCTGCCACAACGGGAGGTAGGGCTGGAGGGGGTAGGAAAGGGTTGTGCACGGTGGCGTGCCGGCTGCTGCAGGTGGTGGGGCAGTGGGGTGCAGCGCCATGGGCATGGAGAAGAATCGCACAGGCAGAGGGGCAGTGTCTTGGAGAGGGTGAGCAGCATGCAGCAGGGAAGGGGGCAGCAAGTTCCTGTAACCGCCTGCCTTGCGTGCAGGGCACAAGGAAAGACTGCGGGTGTGGGGTGGGTAGGGGCTGAGAAGGGGTTGGGTGGAGGGAAGGGGGCGGGAGGCCAAGGTGGGGGGGCAGGGCAGGCGGACGAGCAGAGGGGAGTGGCATTGATGGTGGGGGGAGCTGTAAGGCAGGGAGGAGAGAGAGGAGGAGGCTGTCGGGAAGTGGGCAGTTGGGAGGTGCATGTGGAGGTGTTACCGAGTGCAGGAGAGGCGGCTGCCAGGGATGAGGCCAACGAGAGGGCAGAATCAGAGGTGCGAAGCTGATAAGGAGGGTTCGGGTTTGCTGGGGGAAAAGGGGAGGGCTCGGGTTTCCTGGGGGAAAAAGGGGAGATGCGGAGCAGGGGGATATGGCACACCCTGGCCTTGAGGTGGCCAAGCAGAGGGGGTCAGGGAGGAGCGTGCTGCTCCCGTAGCTGCTTCTTCCATGGGCGGGAACTGCAGCAAGAGAGGGACGCATCGAGGCGCGCATGCTGGCGCGCTGGCGAGCAGGGCGAGGCAGCAACGATTGCGGCTGTGAATGGCACGGGCACAGCTATGGACCACGCAGAGGGGCCGGCCCCGGCCAGCGCGGCCATGGGGGGGCGAGCGTGGAGGTGGAGAGGCGGATGCGCATAAGGGCATGGCGTGGTTGCCTCGCGCGCACTCGCCTCAAAGGGGGACCGGGGGGGTGGGCTGGTTGCAGCGCTGGTGGGGCGGTGCTGTCTGCCTGCCGCAGCGCTGGTGGGGGGGAATGGGCTGCTAGGGAGGGGCTGCCGGCAGAGGGGTGGGGAGTGGGCCTGTGGGCGCGGAGAGGCGGCGAGGGGAGGATGCAGGTGGGGAGGGGCAAAAAATGGGGGGAGGGGAGGGGTTATGGGGAGCATGGATTGGGAGAGGGTCGGATGGAAAGCCGCATGAGGAAAGGAGTTGAGGCGGCGCAAGCTGGTGAATTAGCAAGGAAGGAGGTATACCTGAAAGAATCTGATAAGTTGTACTAGCAGTGTGAATACGTACAAGCATACATAGGATTCTAGAGAGGCTTGAGAGGGAAGGGGGAACAGTGCCACAAGCAGTTGGGTTGGGGAAACCCCAATTATGGTTGGGTTGCCCAACCACTGTTTGGGGAGACCAAAAGTGGTTGGAGGACCAACCACCATTGGCGCCACTTGCGTGGCCCAACAAGTGTGGGCTTGGTGCTTGGGGGCTCCAACCACTTGGGTTCGGATTGACACCCCTTGCATAAAGTGTGTACACCACAAATTGGTGTACACCTACAGAGCACACTAACCTAGCATGTTATAAGTGATATAATCTAACAAAACCCCTTAACATGCAGAAGGCTAGTGTGAAGAAGGGAGATAACCACTGAATCATGGAGCGCCCGAGGGGCCGGGAGGGCCAAGGCCAAGGAGGCGAAGGAGGGCCTTGTGGGCAGCCTTGGGCAAGGCCTTGGTGAAAATGTCCGCCAAGTTAGCTTCACCGGCGATCTTGTGCACGGCCAGGTGGCCCTGCTGGACGAGCTCGCAAATGTAGAAATAGCGAAGCTCGATGCGTTTGGACCGACCATGGAAGACCAGGTCCTTAATGAGGTGGATTATGCTGGCATTGTCGCACCAAAGGGTGGGGCAGCGCTGAGGAGCGCCGAGCTCAGCGAGGAGACAGCACAGCCAGCGCGACTCCTGAGCGGCCATGGTGCCCGCGTAAAGCTCCGCCTCGCACGAGGACAGGGCAATGGCGGAGGAGCGGGTGGAGCGCCAGCTGATGAGGCCACCGCACAGGGTGAAGCCATAGCCCTGGGAGGAGCGGCGGTCGGGCTGGGAGTCGGCCCAAGACGAGTCACTGTAGCCAGTGAGGAGGGGAAAGGAGGTACCACCAAGGGTCAAGACGTAGTCCTTGGTGCCTCACAGGTAGCAGAGGACTCTCTTGGCGGCGGCCCATTGCGCGGGAGGCAGGGCCTCAGATTCGTTTTGGGGCACGCTGATCGCTCAGGGTCCCCCCCCCCTTGCCTCACTGTTTTTTCAGGCCACGCAAAGAAACTTACGCTGATCAATCAGGGTGTTGTAAAAATTTTGCGCTGAAAAAACAGAGTTACCTACAAAAAACACACTGTTCAACTAAATGGCCATTATTATTATCTTTTTAAAGACAAGGGTTTACAATTTAACATGGGCATACTAGGACCTACTTAAGCATCCTCCTCTGCCTGCACGCTGTCGTGGACTACAGGGGAATCGTCCTCCTTCTCTTTCCCCTTCCTACTCTTCTGGGCTCTGCTCTGTGGGGCAGTGCTGTAGGGCTTCCGCTTCTTGTAGGCTCTCCAGATGTCAATGATGGCATCCCAGTCTGGGTCGTAGTCTAGCAGGCTCATACACATCAAGTCTCCAAGGCGTGAGTCCTTCATGCTGCCCCGCAGCCAGCTCTTGATCACATTCTGGCGGGAGAACCCTCGTTCACATTCCACTGTGCTCAGGGGAAGAACTGCCGTAGCGCACCACAGCTTGACGAGATTGGGGAAGCTATCCTCCCAGTCTGGAGACTTCAGCATGGTTGTCAAGCCGGTGTAGAAACCCTTGTCACCCTTTGGCAGGGCGGCAAGGACGGGGCAGAAATGGGGGATCTCCAGCACAGCCGCTCGCTTGTTGATGCCTGCCAGTAGGGGAAGGGTAGGAGGGAGAACGAGGAGTATTAGTACAGTAGGGTAGAGCGGACCACATTAACAAATCGTGCAAGCCTCGGGGTTAAAGACAGGTGAGATACCCGGAAGAATTTCTTCGGCTTCCCCTGCATGGTAGAGGTCGACCATCATCCCGAACCACTCCAGACATTGGGCCTTCCGTGGAGCACGTTCCCACCCCTTCGGCCACTGGTCCGCACAGAAGAGCATTGAACCACCCAGCTGCTTCAAGTCCCCCAGCCGCTCGTCCAGGTTCTGCACCATGCCTTCTGCCAGCGCCATGCACGCCACGACACAGTCGTCGTGCTTGCCCTCACCCGGGTAGCCATCCAATGGCTCCTCATGCAGGTCGAAGGTGAATCGACTCGGGCGCCCATCGGAGTCGACGCCCTCGACAGTAACGCTGCGCGTACCACCAGGACCGTGACGGGCGAGGAAGGCCGTGAGCAGGTCTTTCGGGCCCCCGTTGAAGTCGTCGCCGCAGTCGACGTAGCGGCTTTCGAGGAGGGACGTCACGCGGGAGACCGACGCGTGAATCGTTGACATGTCCAGCTGCGGTAAGGGGTTTGAGAACACAAGTAAGACAACAATGGTTCGTCAGTAGCGGTTTAGAAACACCATGTGACGAAACTTACCTCGCGGCTCTGGAAAGTCTTGTTGAGAATGTTCATCTGCTCAAGAACATCAGCAAGAAACATGAGCACAAACCAAAACCTGTAGCTCGTGACAATCTTGTAAAGACGGTCGTCGGCAAACTCGGACAGCATGACGACGATGGCTGGCAAGACCTTCACCAGCCGTCCGATGGCCTCGCCGCGTGAGAGCCATCTGACTTGGTGAATACCCTGCAGCTCCAAGCACATCGAGAGGAAGACGTCTTGGAGGTCGAGGAAGCGCTGGTGCCACGGTCCTGAGCGACCAAGGAACTCGGCCAGTTCCTTGATGACATCATCGATGATGTTGAAGAACGGCATGTCCTCCGCCGCCGCCTTAGCTGCCAGCGCCTCTCTGCACATGGAAAAGAGCACGGGGAGAAATCAAACAAACCACCATGAGTGATAGCTAGTATTGTCCCGAGTCACCATATGTGCAAATACGGAAAAAAAAAAGGAAAAAAAAAAAATACCGGTGAGCGATGTAGTGACAGGAGACCAGGTGAGGGATACGCATCCGGAGTCGAGTCACCAGGCCGGATTTCGAGCCCATCATCACCGCCGCCCCGTCTGTACTGATGCCCGAGATGCGGCGGAGATCGACACCAATGGCTTGCAGGTGGGAGAGCAGCAGAGCGAGCAGAGAAGAGGCATCCGCCTTGTCAACACTGAGCAGCGCCAGGTACTCGGTGACGACGCGGAGCTCCCGGATGAAAGTGCAGAAGACTATCATGTGCTTTCCTCTGCAACGGTCCGTGCTCTCGTCGAGGCTAAGTCCGATGAACGGGCTCCGCAGGAGGTGCTCCAGCTGGGTGGTTTGCAGCCAGGTCGCGGTGGATTGCGTGAACTCCCCGAAACCGTACCTGCGTTTAATAACATAAAAAATCTCGTCAGTAGTGGTTTATAAGGATGGAAGGTAAGAATACGAAGCTTAAAAGTCTAAAGGAATTTAGGCCTTACGAGTTCATGTACGTCCCGTATCCGCCCTCGGGAAAGTTCTTGAACTTCCGCGACGCAAGGTGGTTGGTGATCGTGACCCATGTGTCCATGGGTTTGTTGGTCTTGCAACATGTGTACAGCAGGTCGAGAAGCGCAGTCACTCGCTCCGTCTCCAAATCCGCGGCGTGCGGGTTCTGATCGATTCGCGTCTGGGTAGTAGCTTCCTGCAGCAGAACGTTTTGCTTCCCGAACGCGAGGCGGTGCTTTCCGGTACCAGCGTGCCTGTTGAACGCCTGTGTTTGTGCGTCTGTGATTCCTGGCCCACGACGACCAGTCCTTCCAGAGAGCCCTGCATGCTCCAAACAGATGGTACACTTAAAGGCAGGGCGCCCATCGTTAGCTTTACACAAAACGAGCCAGGGAAACTGCTCCTGCCACCTCGACTTGTAACGGGAAAGAGCCTCAGCGTAAAGCTCGGAAGGACTTAGAGACTTCCTGGAGGTTGAAGGTGTATCGTCTTCAGACGGCTCTTCATCGTCATCAGCAGGTATCGACTCCGGCAGCTCGGCAGTTCCCGGATTCGGCTTCGCGAACGGTAACTTGGCCTGGCGATAGCGACCTTGGCGCTTGGGAGTTGTCGTCGCAGTAGCAGGGCGATCGACGGCGGCTAGTGCCGACGGACCGGGTCCAAGACTCTGCCCAGGAAGAACGACTACATCGGAAACTGAGTCAGCTATTTCCTTTCTTGCACGTTCCTGTTCTCTAGGCGCAGCATCGGCTCTAATCGGGATGCGGGTAAGGCTAGACAGTGTCGAGAGGAGCAAGTCGAGCCCCGTGCACAGGTCTGCACGAGGAATGCTACCACCGTCATCGCCTTCTGGATCACCGTCGCTAGGTGCTGCCATCGCGCGATGGCAGCGGTAAAGAAACCAGTCACAACCGTGGAGGAGAAATGGAATGACGAGGGTGGAAGCATCCGACTTGAACGAGGCAGCAGGTGTGGCAGCACAGCATCGATTGAAGACATCGATGAAGAGGATGGGGTCTCTTGAGGTTTCTGGAGGGCACGCGGCTCGCAACAGCCTTCTGCATGCATGCATGTGGTTCACGAAGCGGGTGGGTAGCGGTCTACTGCCGTGCTGGTGGGCCAACTGTCTAACATTGTACCTGGTCTATTGGCTGCTGTGGCTGAAATTTGGCAATGAGCCAATCCAACCCCTGCAGCCACGCTCTGCTGAAGACAGCAGTGGCTGACAACTTTCGAACAGCCAATTAGACCCCGCCGAGCACTATGTGCTGGAGGAAATTTGGCAGAATATTCTCCAGCGGGGCTGGAATCTGGTCGGTCAAACTCGAGTCGGCGTCATTGACAGGGACGGTGGGGGGGGATTCACGGAAATCACGGGGTGGGGGAGTTGGGACTGGGAATCCGCTATTACAAGAATCAGGGTCGGGCTTCGATACGACGCTGGAAAAACAGGCCACACTACACTATGCACGCTGATCGATCAGAGTTCACTCTTAAAAAAACTCTGAAATTTCAGGCCTCTGTCTTAAAAAAATCCTGTCTCATCAGGGTCACCCCCCAAAAAAGCCCTGATTTTACCCTGAATCAGGGTAAAAAGCCTGCAATCTGAGGCCCTGGCGGGAGGGTGGCGGCCTGCTCCAAACAACCCGGCAAGGACACTGATGGGGGCATGCGAGGTCAGGGCGCGTACACATCATGGCGTACATGAGGGACCCGATAAGCTCGGCATAGGGGTGATTATAGGCGGAGGGGGAGGTGGCAGGGTCAAGCTGATGACCAACGGGCAGAGGGGTGGACACTGGCTTGGCCTGCGCCATGGTGAACCGCTCCAGGGCGTAGGCGAGGTAGAACGACTGGGACAGCGTGATGGTGCGGGCTTCCACATCGCGAGTGATGGTCATGCCGAGGTAATTCTTCAGCTCGCGGAAATCCTTGCACTGGAGTCGGGTCTGGAGCTCGGTCTTGACCTGCACCATGTCGACTTCCTCATCGGCTATGAGGATCATGTCATCCACATAGACGAGGATGAAGAAGTGGCTAGGGCCGGCGCGGAGGAAGAGGCTGGCGTCAGAATGGGCGGCGCGAAAGCCCATGGCCTGAAGGGTGGCGGCCAGTTTGGCGTGCCACTCTCGAGGCGCCTGCTTCAAGCCATACACTGAGCGACGAAGCTCCCAGACGGTGTCGGGTGGGAAGGCGGCATGGAATCCCGGGGGATGCCACATAAGGATTTTTTCATACAGTTCGCCTTACAGGAACGCGTTGGAGACGTCCATGTAGGAGATCACCATGGCCATACGGGCGGCGAAGTCGAGCAGAGCCTGGATGGTGGGGAGCTTGGCTGTGGGACAAAATGTATCCCAGTGGTCGACGCTCCAGGTCTGGGTGAAGCCCTTGGCGCAGTAGCGGGCCTTGTAGGCCGGCTCCTTGCCAGGTAACTGCTTCACCCGGAACACCCATTTTCCTTCGACGATATTAGCACCGGGAGGAGGAATCACGTCGACGAACGAGTTGTTGCGGATGAACGCCTCAACCTCACGAAAGTTGGCACGGATCCACTTGTTGGCGTCAGGGTCGGTGATGGCCTCCCAAAAGTCGCCTGGGACGTAGATGGAGGGGGAGGAGGATGCACCGAGCACCATGAAGCCAAGGAAGCCCATGTAGAGCGGGAGGAGGCATGGACTGTGCTGCTGAACGATGATGAACTCCGCATGGGAGTCCTCCCCGGGAGGGGCAGAGGGGTTGAAGGGGAGACCAAGGACGGGATCCATGGAGCGCGTGTGAGCGCACGGGAGGAGGAAAGGAGAGGATGTGCGGCGGTGCATGGAGGGAGATGGAGCGGAGACCTGGCCGCCACCAAGGGGAGGAGGGTGCTGCTGCTGCGGCGGGAGCTCCTGTGGGTGCTGCTGCTCTTGCTGGTGCTGTTGCTGCGGCTGCTGCTGCTGCTGCTGCGGCAGTGTCAACTTATACATATGTTAATTTGTAGAAGTTATAGGCTAGATAGGTGTATTTTTTTAGAGAGTACAACTCCAACCCTATATTTCCCTTGTTCACCCTTGTTTATAGTTATTATAGTATTCTGACATGGTATCATGAGTAGGTTAGATCCCCCCCACCCGCTTCTGCCCTATGCCTTAGCCTACCGCACCTCGCCGGCCCCTATCGCGCCCACCCGGCCCCTCTAGCGCCGTAGCTGGCCCCTCGCGCCTAGCCGGACCCTTCGCACCCAGCTGGCCCCTTCACGCCTAGCCGGCCCCTATCGCGCCTAGCCGGCCCTTTCGCGCCGTAGCTGGACCTTCGCGCCTAGCTGGCCCCTATCACGCCTAGCCGGCCCCTTCGCTCCATAGGTGGCCCTTCGCACCTAGCCGGCCCCCTTCGCGCCTAGTTGGCTCCTCGTGCCGTCGCTGGTCCCTCGCGCCCTAGCCGGCCCTTCGCGCCGCCGCCGGCCCCTCGCGCCCCGCCGGCCCCTCGCGCCCAACCGGCGCCTCGCGCCTAGCCACCACCCCTCGCGCCCTAGCCGACCCTTCGCGCCGTCCCCGGCCCCTCGCGCCCTAGTCGGCCCCTCGCGACCTAGTCGGCCCCTTGCGCCCTAGCCGGCCCCTCAGGCCGTCGCCGGCCCCTCGCACCGTAGCCGGCCCCTCGCGCCCTAGCTGGCTCTTTGCGCCGTCGCCAACCCTCGTGCCTAGCCGGCCCCTCGCGCCCTAGCCGGCCCCTTGTGCCCTAGCCGGCACATCGCGCCCAGCCGGCTCCTTACGCCCAGCCGGCCCTGCGCGCCCAGCCTGCCCCGCGCGCCCAGCCGGCTTCTCGTGCACTAGCCGGCCCCTAGCGCCATAGCCGGCCCCTTGAGCCCTAGCCGGCCCCTCGCGCCCTAGCCGGCCCCTCGTGCCCAGCCGCCCCCTCGAGCTCAGCTTGGCCCTTCTCGTGCCACCGTCAGTCCCTCTACCGCCTTGATGCCCCCTACTGCCTGTTCGCCCCCCCCCTTGCGCACCCTCCGGCTCCTCGCGCGCCCGGTCTCTGTTCCGGAGAGTCCTGCCGCCACGTCGCTGTCTCGCTGCGCCGCTGCGCCACTGTATCCCTATGGCGCTGTGTCCCGGTGCCGTTGAGGTTTCGCAATGGTGGACCCCATTCTACGTCTGGACGCGGAGGGGCACGCGATCGACTTCGCCGCCTGGCTTGTCGATCTTCGCCGGCACCTGACAGGTCAGCACCAGGATGGGCACTCCCTGGCTATGCATGTTGATCCCACCACTGCTAAGAGTGAGGCATTTGCTGCTGCTGCGCTCGCTCGCGCTATCTAGGATTCTCGTGATGCTGTGGCGCAGCTTGCCATTAGTCATGCACTTCCCCTATCTAAGCGTCCCCGCTTCACTACTATAGCAAACGCCAAAGACTTCCTAGATGCAGTAGTTGCACGCTACTCCACGCCTGACTCCGCCTCAGCTGGATGCTTGATCCTCCCCATGCTCTTCCCTGATCTCTCTGCTTTCCCCACTATCGCTGATCTCGCCACTCACCTCCGTGCACTAGAGAATAGCTACCGTGCTGCTAGCACTACTGCCCAGCTGACTGCTTTCCTCCTGCCGTTCTGCGCTACCCTGTACCTTATTATCATGCGCGTGCCTGACCGCTTAGCCACTGCCCGCAACCACTTCCTTAGCCAGCACCCTGGTGACCTCACCCTGACCGCTTTTGTCGCTGCCCTTTCTGAGATAGAGACTCGCCAGCGCACAATCGCTCAGTCGAGCGGTGTTGCGGCAGTCCCTATCTTTCAGGGCTGTGCCCCCTCCCAGTGCACGTACGCTGACGTTTCCGCTGCAGTTGCTACTGCTGCTCCTACCGATAAGACAGCACCGGCGGCCTTCCCGCAGCAGCAGCGACAGCGTCGGGGCCGTCGCGACCCCAAGGGAGGGCGTGGTGGTGGTGGCGGCGACAGTGGTTCTGACGAGGGTGCTGGGATAGGCGTCCAGGAGCAGCAGCAGCAGCGGCTCGCTGCGGCCGTTCGCCGCTCGCTGCGCCGCTCACCAGCTTAACCTTTGGCCGCGCTCGCAGCAGCCGCAGGTTTCGCCGACCCTTCTTTGGACCGGGTTACTTGGTGACGGGTCTGCGTTCCACGTCTGGGGCTGCCTCGCTCACGTTCGTGCCTCTGACCCGTTCGTTCGCTCACTGCCCGCACTGTCCCCTATGTCTTCCTCGGTTTCCCCCTGGACTCCTCTGACTGGCACTTTTACCACCCGCTGTCTGACCGCTTCTTTCACTCCCGTGACGCCACTTTCGATGAGTCTGTCACCTCCTACCACCACTTTCCCCCCCGAGGTCTCCCCGTTCCCCCTCCCATGTGTCTGGTCCCCACTCCCCCGGTAGCCCCTGCTCACCTTCCTCCCCGTCCTGCTCCGTTTGGTGTGTCTCACGTCACTCCCCTCCCGTCGGTTGTCTCGGTCGAGGAGTCAGCTGACTCTGGTGGCCCTGTGGCTCCGTTCTTGCCAGCTATCTCTCCCCCGGTGTCTCCACCTCCGCCGTCTGAGTCGCCGCCGCAGCAGCCACCGCCGCCGCTGTAGCCGCCGTCGCCGTCGCAGCAGCAGCAGCAGCTGTTCATGGACTCTGGGGGTGTTGGCGTTGAGGAGGGTGCTAGTCCTGGGGTTCCTGTCGTGGCTTGTCCCGGCGGGCTCGGGGGTGGCACCGGTGCTGGAGAGGGTTCTCGCTCTGGGGGTGCTGGAGTGGAGTGTTCCGGAGGTAGCCGTAGTGCAGCTGGCGGTCTAGGTGTTGGCATCGAGCAGCAGCAGCAGCAGTCGCTGCCGGTGTCCGCCCTTCACCTGCTCGGCCTTCCCTCCCCTGATCGTTCGCCTGTACCTCCCCCGCCACCTCCTCCCCTTCCTATCCACGGTCCTGTGTTTCCTCCGCCGGACTCGTTCCCGGCTCGTTTCCCACCTCGTTCCCCTCCGGTTACTCCTCCCCTGTCTCCTGACCCAACGCCTCCGTCTCACGTCTGGTCTCGTCGTCCCTCTCGTGCTCGTCCTGTCTCCCCTGTTCAGCGTTCTCACCCTATGTTGCTTAGTTCCCACACGTCTCGTCCTCCCCTCTTGCCTTCGCCTCCTCTGTCTTCGCTCGATGTCGCACCTCCCCCTCTGTGTGACTACCTTCGTGCTGCTCGTCCTCTTGTTCCTCGTGTCCTTGCCTCCCTCGTTACCGACCCGTTTGTTCCTCTCTCGAGTCTTGACGCTCTTGTCGCTGCTTTCGCTGACTTCGCCTCTACCCATCGCCTTGACTACGGCACCGCTCTGGTCTCTGACCTTGTCCGTCTTCCGTCCGTCTGGGGTGCTCCTGCCCTTGGCAGTAACGTCCTAGAGGAGAGGCAGCACGAGCTTGCTTTCCTGTCCGAGGCTGCTCCCCATCTCGGCTCCATGCTGCCAGTCCCTGAGGGTGACCCAGATGCCTTTGACATCCCGACCCCTCGCACTTACGTTGAGGCGACCTCGGGACCCTGGGCCTCTCAGTGGATAGCTGCCATGGAGAAGGAGATGGCATCTTGGAGATCCACCGGCACCTACGTCGACGCAGTTCTCCCACCTGGGGTGAACGTAGTTGACGGCCGATGGCTCTTCAACGAAAAGCTCC